GTCACCCATCCAAGGACTGTCCGTGGTCAACGTTGTTTAACTTAAACTGATTCTGACCTGATCTCTATGCACAGGACCACACACCAGCACAAATCAGGATTAGATGGTTGGCTGATGGTTGATCAACATTATTATCTTAATGATGAGCATGGTAGCAGTGAGTGGTCTGCCTGACTTGACTTTCATGTACAACGGCTGGAATATTGCTGACTTCAGCATAACATCCACTCTGGTCTCTCTAATCTCTTAGGGGGAGAAAATAGGTTGTGACAGAAGACCTTGCATTGCTCTTAGTGGGTTAGTGTAGCAGACAAACTCCAAGACCCTAATTGGGACACATCTTGACAATTCAGGCATGGAACAGTTTTGTCGTGTTGAAATAGTGCCAGATGCTGGACGCTGTGGCTTCCAGTCCAGAACTGCAGGAATACATAAACAGCATCAAATATCAATCATTGTTAAATGTAATCGATTGCTGTGTTTTGATTTTAATTTATTGGTTTAAAAACATGGACAAATGCATATAATGAATCTCTGCCATAATGAATGGTAGATGTGATTACAGTTTATCTAAATTTGCATGTCAGTTTTGTGCTTTCAGCTTGTAACATAACAATAGATTTTGTCATTCTTTTTCATATATTCTTCCTTGGGGTACATATAAGCATTTAAATGTCCATTTAAAATCCCTTCGACAGTTGTAACAATATTTGTATAAAATATTTACAAAACAAAAAACTACGTTTTTGTCTTGTGAGACCACCCCTACAGGGCCCCACAGACCCCTACAGCCAAGAGCAGGTAACTGTGGACTATAACCTCATACCTTACTTTCCCTGCTGTCGTTTGACCGACTAGACGTGTGTCCATATCGACAAGAGAGTTGAATTTTGTAATTCCCTACAACGATGAGTGATTCCGAAACTGTATGTATGGTTCTCTTTTTTCCCTGCATGGGCGATTTAGAGATTGTTTCTGAATTTTTTAATTCATCTTTAGTTGTAACTTTGTACTCTCCCTGCCGGCTTGCCATGTGCTTATCAAGATTGGCGTTTTTACGTTTAGCGCGTTAGGGCGTTTTTTCCCGCTGCTAGCTTTTTATGTCCGCCATCAGTTGTATTTGTTAGTTATGTTGCGGTAGAGTCAGCATGTATTATTTTCTGGTTTCAGCTTAATGCTTATATTATCTTTCACATGTACAGTCTGTTTGAGTCAGAAACGGACCGATGAATTGCAAATTTTATCATTGTACAAAATTGCCACGTAAATATAAATAGTACACATGTTTATCATTTACTAATACCCAACAGCTTTCTGATATTTGAAAATTTCTCGGACTCCACCAAAAAAGTTCTTTAAGAAACTATCATTAAAATTTTGACACAGTTCACTATTTGTTACAAGGGAGGAGTGCAGAGAAAGGGATAGCCAGGTGTGCGAGAAAGGATGGAGACGGCACAGCACAGGCTAATGAATCAATAACTGGGTGGGCACTTGTGCACGTGCTTCTCGCACACCTGGCTGTCCCTTTCTCTGCACTCCTCCCTCGTAACAAATAGTGAACTGTGTCAAAATATTAATGATAGTTTCTTAAAGAACTTTTTTGGTGTCACACCTCGGCGCCCCGTGTGCAGTCTGGGCTGCCCGGGAAGCCTGTAGGGGCAGGTTCTTCTTAGGTACCTCGGCACCCTGGTGTCGGTTCCACCAGGGGGCAGGGCGACCCGAACCTTCTGGCTCCACTTGACCTTTTGAGCACTTCTAACCGCATTAGTGGCACCCTCGGCGACCTCTCTCGATTATGAGAGTACGGCAGCCGAAGAGTATGCAGATGTCGACATGGAGGAGGATGAGGGGAGAGAGGAGTCGGAAGTCGGGGTCACATACTCCTTCGTGTCGTTCCTGCGGCAGGTTCGCGAACATATCGCGGAGGTGCTGCCCCAGGTGGCTGTCCCTGTACAGGCGCCCGATTACGCATTCTGCCATCACTGATGAGTGAGGTGGTGAATCCTCTGCTGACTGGTGCATGTTCTCGGTTCGACTTAGCGGACGTTGGCAAGCGGTATCAGTTGGAGGAGGATGCACTATTCGAGCCGCCAGTGGTGGACGAGTGTGTGTTTGCCTCAGTTACCCTTGGGGGGTCATCCACGTCCTCCCTGGCTTCGGCCAGGCAAAGCAGGCGGCTACCACCCTTCCAAGCCAATGCCCCCAAGCAGGCTGTAACTGGGTGTGTGTGTGTGTGTGTCGGGTCCTGGGTGACCACTCGGTCTCAGGCCTATGGTCGGAGCAGGAAGTCAGCCTGCACATCAATGTGTTAGAGTTGAGAGCAGTCCGCCGGGTGTTTGAGAGCTTTCTGGAGTTTATCCGTGGCCGCGTGATTCGTCTAGAAATGGACAATCACACGGCCATGACTTACATCCTAAAGCAAGGTGGCACAGTGTCCCCGTCACTCCTTCAGGGGGCGTGGCAGTTTCTACTGTGGTGCGACCAGTTCAACATTCGGGTTTTGCCTGTTTATCTCCCGGAGGTAGACAAATTAATACTGTGGCATAGGTATATTGTATAAGTCAACACATGATGTTATACATTGATGCTGTCAATTTAACACAGCCTCACTAGTCTCCCCACAGCCTCCAGGTATTGGTTCGGCGTCTTAGTCCCTCCCTCTAACTGTTCCTGCAACTTGCCCAGTGGGTTGTTTATTTCTCTATACACTCTCCTCCATGCTGGAGGAGCAGCATCCAAGTCCAACTGGGTAATCTTCAGGCAGTCTGCCGTCTCGATTTTCTTCAAAATATCAACCAGGCAAAACATTTTTGGGTGTCAGCTTGATGGGCTGGAACTCAATCAGCTGTTGAACCTTTCCAGGCAGTTGTTCGTTCTTGTACTGACGGTGTCATGATGATTCCACATGGACAGTGGAAATAGGGAGTCATCGTTCGTCCACCCAGTTCTTCACTATGTAGCCTTTGAATGGAACGTCTGCTGGCACATCAGGACGGGTTTCCATAGCATCCATCCAAACATCTTGAAGGATGATCTGTTGGATGTGTGTCTTGAGGAGACTCAGTAGGCGGCGATAGGTAGCTATCGTTCGGCTGGGCATGAGGGCATGGTAGGTTCTTCACGAGCTCATTTACGAAGGGAGCTGATGAAACGAGTCGAGTTTGGTCTGGTGGCGGATGATTATGTTCACTAGTGTTTCTGACAAAATCTCCTACAGTTGTGCCCTTTCCTGTTCGCGTCTTAACAGTTCAAACCCCCGCAGTCTCATTTGAGAAGTCATTGACAAGAATCGTTTAAAAGAAGGACAATTATACAGACTTATGGCGTACTCAATAGAATGGGTGAGTCATACAGACTCAGTATTGGTACAAATCAGGGGTACACAAAGTCCGAAGTTTAGACTACCAGTTGTCTGGTTTCCATTTTATAAAAGCCACGGTGGCTGAGTGGGTTAGGCAGCTGACTTTGTGTGCTGGCGATTAGGTGCCTGAGGGTGTGGGTTCGATTCCTGGATGGGACTCAACCCAAAAAAGTACTAGAAACTGTACTTACTAAGAAAGTGTAATCCCAAATATAGCATGTTACGTTTTACCACTTTCTAAATGACATTGTGTATTCGTAGTACAAGTTAGTTGTTTATATTCAAGTAGATCAGTTAAAAGGATTATGTCCTTATTATTCAAAGCAAACACTGTGTTATGCAGGTGACTTGATCCTAAAGAACAGGGGAGTATCGAATTAGGACTGATCGGACGGATCTATTGTTACTGTAGGGGTGAGCCTTCTCCACCCTCACTCAAGTGTCTGACAACTGGGGTATCACCGAGCTTCCAGGTTGTCATGAGATAGTAGAAAGGGAGGAAATATGCTGAATTTACATGACAACCAATTTGTGTTTTTCACGGCTCAGGTCATTCAACCTGGTGGCAGAGGAAGCATGAAATAATTTATTTCTTGAATTTTTACATTCCAATTCTTATCAGAATTCTTTTTAGAAGTACTCAGTGCAAAAGCTGAACAATTTCTCTTTTATTTAAATGGTGAAATTGATTGTTGCTTGCTGTTAATACAGCTTTTGTTTGATTTCTAAAATGGACACAAACATGACGCCATTGTTGTCCCCACTTTCTCTGAATGATTATGGCCCGTGAAGATAAGGTTTAGAATTGGCCTTCAGCAACCCATGCTTGTTGTAAGAGGCAACTAATGAGATCAGGTGGTCAGACTTGCTGATTTGGTTGACACATGTCATCATATCCCAATTGCGTAGATTGATGCACATGGTGTTGGTCACTGGATTGTCTGGTCCAGGCTCGATTATTTACTGGCCCCAGCCATATAGCTGGAATATTGCTGAGTGCGGCATTCAACAACAAACAAAACGTGAATGATAATGCATGTATGTGTGCGTCCCTGTATTGCGATACAGAAAACACTGATGGAATGCTGGTTCAGTGACAGTGCAACTGTTGTAATAGTTATATTGCCATAACCTCGATCATGTTTTGTAGCGACCATTTATTGTTATTTGTTTTTGTGTAAATACACATGTTACTATTTCACTGCAGTATGTTTGACAATATACAGAATACTGTCTTGTGTTCCAAATGCAAATTTTTCAAGTATTGGCAACATGGATCTGCTTCAAGATGTTCTGATAATGAACAGTGATTAGTGTTTCAGATGAAGCCTACAGCCTTGAAATTTAGAAATCCTGAGAACTCTAACAATGTTTTTTCTTCTGTTTTTGAAATGCTTGAAACAAAATGAACACGTGCCAATATTTGACCAAGAAATTTTATGATTTTCCATAGAAAGAGCATGGCATCCACAAAACTGATAAGGAAAGCCGCCCTTCTCTTATGTTCAACCTTCTTGGTGGAACTTGCAGGAACTTGTTCAAGACCCTGCTATGTTTCAGGCCCATCAAATATTTGAAATAGATTGATGACCTCCATTTTATCGACCACAGATTTTGATGGTGGTTCTGTTTCCAGTGCAAGTACACAGCCTTCTCCGCCACCGACGCCTGCAAGAATGCTCGCCACGATCTTCATCGCCATAAAGGCATCAAGAGCTTCTTCAAGTGTAAACACTGTAAACATAGAACAGTTTCCTTGGACAAATACCCTAAGGATGCCTGCAAGTAAGCTCTTTCAGATAAACATCTCTGTGTGATAATTCTCCTTTTCATGTTGAAGTTGTTGCAAGACCATAGTTACTGAGATGCAAACACTGATTATATGGATTTTTCCAGTCCAAAGATCTTTGACTTTAATATGATATTACAAAACATGTATTCATACCTTGGCTTATTATCTTAGAATGTTACTTTTCTATAGCTTGTAGCTGATCTGACTATGAGGTCTTAGAATGGCATTTAAAAGTGAAACACACAAGGAAGATAGTGTTATAGATGTCCACTTCTTTATTATGAAGAACGCATTATTTCAGAGTATATCCTTACTCCTTCATCAGGTGGAATAATAAAGAAGTTGACATCCATAAAATCTCTCTGCCTGATATGACTATGATTGCTATGAGCAACTTGTTTTCGGTGATTCAAACTGTAATCTTTCATGAATTAGTTTGCTATTTACAATTACTGTGTCATAGCGAAATATGCAAAATGGAATGTGTTCAAGCAAGGAAGGATAATAGTCATCTCTCTTATATATTTTTTCGATTGGTAGTAATGTGGCCACTGCTGATTACTGTGACATATTGACACCGTCACTGGGTCAAAACACATCCAGTCAAGTGGGGACTTGTTGTGGTATTTGTGACAAATATTTGTATTCGTTATCCCCTTTCCGTGGTTTGTATTGTGTTCTCCTGCAGACAGAGGCAGTTTTGAACAAACTCACTTGCCTAAGGTGAGACCACAAGTATCACATGTGCTTCTTTGCAGGGCAGAACTGAAGTCCTAAAAACTCTCAGGAGTCAAGCTGCCAAACACGGTCACCCATCCAAGGACTGTCTGAGCTCGACGTTGCTTAACTTCAACTGATTCATGACCTGAACTCTGTGCACAGGACCGAGAGTTGTCGGGTGGCCATGGACATTTGATTATGAAATTTCCACATATCTAAACTTGATGAAATACTTCAGAAAGTGGATGGGACCACAGCAGAATATTTTGTCAGTGATAGGAATGTGATAGGAATGTTATCTGTTGCAAGGTTATAAGATATTACTGTGGACATATCACGAATATTACTGACTTAAACATTCAATTACGCTGTACCATTTTGTTTTCAGAAATTGCGGTAGTTCAACGTTTGAAAGAACTTCAATGGCACGGGTAAGATGATAACCGCTACCAATAAAACACTGAATCTTGATCAGTGATAAATGTTTACAGGGTAGGGCTTCCAGGAGTTGGTGATGGGCTAGTAATCCCATCAAAGACTGAACAGCAGTTGGTGATGGGCTAGTACCCCCACTGTAGACTGAACAGCAGTTTGTGATGGGCTAGTACCCCCACTGTATACTGAACAGCAGTTTGTGATGGGCTAGTACCCCACTGTATACTGAACAGTAGTTGGTGATGGGCTAGTACCCCCACTGTATACTGAACAGTAGTTGGTGATGGGCTAGTACCCCCACTGTATACTGAACAGCAGTTGGTGATGGGCTAGTACCCCCACTGTATACTGAACAACAGTATAGAACAGTAGTTGGTGATGGGCTAGTACCCCCACTGTATACTGAATCAGCAGTTGGTGATGGGCTAGTACCCCCACTGTATACTGAACAGTAGTTGGTGATGGGCTAGTACCCCACTGTATACTGAACAGTAGTTGGTGATGGGCTAGTACCCCACTGTATACCACAGTTGGTGATGCTAAGTACCCCCACTGTATACTGAACAGTAGTTGGTGATGGGCTAGTACCCCCACTGTATACTGAACAGTAGTTGGTGATGGGCTAGTACCCCCACTGTATACTGAACAGTAGTTGGTGATGGGCTAGTACCCCCACTGTATACTGAATCAGCAGTTGGTGATGGGCTAGTACCCCCACTGTATACTGAACAGTAGTTGGTGATGGGCTAGTACCCCCACTGTATACTGAACAGTAGTTGGTGATGGGCTAGTACCCCCACTGTATACTGAACAGTAGTTGGTGATGGGCTAGTACCCCCACTGTATACTGAACAGCAGTTGGTGATGGGCTAGTACCCCCACTGTATACTGAACAGTAGTTGGTGATGGGCTAGTACCCCCACTGTATACTGAACAGTAGTTTGGTGATGGAACAGTAGTTGGTAGGGCTAGTACCCCACTGTATACTGAACAGCAGTTGGTGATGGGCCTACTGAACAGTATCCTGTTGGTGGTGGGCTAGTACCCCCACTGTATACTGAACAGTAGTTGGTGATGGGCTAGTACCCCCACTGTATACTGAACAGTAGTTGGTGATGGGCTAGTACCCCCAATGTATACTGAACAGCTGTGGGTGATGGGCTAGTACCCCCACTGTATACTGAACAGTAGTTGGTGATGGGCTAGTACCCCCACTGTATACTGAACAGTAGTTGGTGATGTATACTGAACAGTAGTTGGTGGAACAGTAGTTGGTGATGGGCTAGTACCCCCAATGTATCCTGAACAGCTGTGGGTGATGGGCTAGTACCCCCACTGTATACTGAACAGTAGTTGGTGATGGGCTAGTACCCCCACTGTATACTGAACAGTAGTTGGTGATGGGCTAGTACCCCACTGTATACTGAACAGTAGTTGGTGATGGGCTAGTACCCCCACTGTATACTGAACAGTAGTTGGTGATGGGCTAGTACCCCACTGTATACTGAACAGTAGTTGGTGATGGGCTAGTACCCCCATTGTTTACTGAACAGTAGTTGGTGATGGGCTAGTACCCCCACTGTATACTGAACAGTAGTTGGTGATGGGCTAGTACCCCCACTGTATACTGAACAGTAGTTGGTGATTAGCTAGTACCCCCATTGTTTACTGAACAGCTGTGGGTGATGGGCTAGTACCCCCACTGTATACTGAACAGTAGTTGGTGATGGGCTAGTACCCCACTGTATACTGAACAGTCGTTGGTGATGGGCTAGTACCCCACTGTATACTGAACAGTCGTTGGTGATGGGCTAGTACCCCCACTGTATACTGAACAGTAGTTGGTGATGGGCTAGTACCCCCATTGTTTACTGAACAGCTGTTGGTGATGGGCTAGTACCCCCACTGTATACTGAACAGTAGTTGGTGATGGGCTAGTACCCCCACTGTATACTGAACAGTAGTTGGTGATGGGCTAGTACCCCCACTGTATCATGAACAGCTGTGGGTGATGGGCTAGTACCCCCACTGTATACTGAACAGCCGTTGGTGATGGGCTAGTACCCCTACTGTATACTGAACAGTAGTTAGTGATGGGCGAGTACCCCCACTGTATACTGAATCAGCAGTGGGTGATGGGCTAGTACCCCCACTGTATACTGAACAGTAGTTGGTGATGGGCTAGTACCCCCACTGTATACTGAATCAGCTGTGGGTGATGGGCTAGTACCCCCACTGTATACTGAACAGCTGTGGGTGATGGGCTAGTACCCCCACTGTATACTGAATCAGCAGTGGGTGATGGGCTAGTACCCCCACTGTATACTGAATCAGCAGTGGGTGATGGGCTAGTACCCCCACTGTTTACTGAACAGTAGTTGGTGATGGGCTAGTACCCCCACTGTATACTGAATCAACAGTGGATGATGGGCTAGTACCCCCACTGTATACTGAACAGCTGTGGGTGATGGGCTAGTACCCCCACTGTATACTGAACAGCCGTTGGTGATGGGCTAGTACCCCCACTGTATACTGAACAGTAGTTGGTGATGGTCTAGTACCCCGAATGTATACTGAACAGTAGTTGGTGATGGGCTAGTGCCCCCACTGTATACTGAACAGTAGTTGGTGATGGGCTAGTACCCCCACTGTTTACTGAACAGTAGTTGGTGATGGGCTAGTACCCCCACTGTATACTGAATCAGCAGTGGATGATGGGCTAGTACCCCCACTGTATACTGAACAGTAGTTGGTGATGGGCTAGTACCCCCACTGTATACTGAACAGTAGTTGGTGATGGGCTAGTACCCCCATTGTTTACTGAACAGCAGTTGGTGATGGGCTAGTACCCCCACTGTATCCTGAACAGCTGTGGGTGATGGGCTAGTACCCCCACTGTATACTGAACAGTAGTTGGTGATTGGTGATGTAGTTGGTAGTACCCCACTGTATACTGAACAGTAGTTGGTGATGGGCTAGTACCCCCACTGTATACTGAACAGTAGTTGGTGATGGGCTAGTACCCCCACTGTATACTGAACAGTAGTTGGTGATGGGCTAGTACCCCCATTGTTTACTGAACAGTAGTTGGTGATGGGCTAGTACCCCCCATGGTGTAGTACTGAACAGTAGTTGGTGATGGGCTGAAGTACCCCCACTGTATACTGAACAGTAGTTGGTGATGGGCTAGTACCCCACTGTATACTGAACAGTAGTTGGTGATGGGCTAGTACCCCACTGTATACTGAACAGTAGTTGGTGATGGGCTAGTACCCCACTGTATACTGAACAGTAGTTGGTGATGGGCTAGTACCCCCACTGTATACTGAACAGTAGTTGGTGATGGGCTAGTACCCCCACTGTATACTGAATCAGCAGTTGGTGATGGGCTAGTACCCCCACTGTATACTGAACAGTAGTTGGTGATGGGCTAGTACCCCCACTGTATACTGAACAGTAGTTGGTGATGGGCTAGTACCCCCATTGTTTACTGAACAGTAGTTGGTGATGGGCTAGTACCCCCACTGTATACTGAACAGTAGATGGTGATGGGCTAGTACCCCCACTGTGTACTGAATCAGCAGTGGGTGATGGGCTAGTACCCCCACTGTATCATGAACAGCTGTGAGTGATGGGCTAGTACCCCCACTGTGTACTGAATCAGCAGTGGGTGATTGGCTAGCTAATCCCTGAAGACTGACTAGTGTTGATACGTGTCGTTATATTCCAGTCACTGTGTACTGAACAGTAGTTGGTGATGGGCTAGTACCCCCACTGTATACTGAACAGCCGTGGGTGATGGGCTAGTACCCTCACTGTATACTGAACAGCAGTGGGTGATGGGGTAGTACCCCCACTGTATACTGAACAGCAGTGGGTGATGGGCTAGTACCCCCACTGTATACTGAACAGCAGTGGGTGATGGGCTAGTACCCCCACTGTATACTGAACAGCAGTGGATGATGGGCTAGTACCCCAACTGTATACTGAACAGCAGTGGGTGATGGGCTAGTATCCCCACTGTATACTGAACAGCAGTGGGTGATGGGCTAGTACCCCCACTGTATACTGAACAGCAGTGGGTGATGGGCTAGTACCCCCACTGTATTCTGAACAGCAGTGGGTGATGGGCTAGTACCCCCACTGTATACTGAACAGCAGTGGGTGATGGGCTAGCTAATCCCTGAAGACTGACTAGTGTTGATGAGTGTCGTTATATTCCAGTCATGGAGGTAGATGCCAATGTCAATGACAGGATTGTGTGGTGTAGATATGATTACTTACAGACCGCAGAGATAAACTGAAAACTGAATAGACACTGATATACTCTCTGAGGACTGCAGTGTTACCAATGAAGATTGACTAATATATTGTGATGAGGAAACACTAGTAGTTCATGATGGACAAATTATGTCACTGGAAACATACTGGCAGTTGCTGATGGGCTGGAAGTCCCATTGACGACACACTTGCAGTTGGCATTATTTTATTTGGCACTTAAGTAGATACTTGCTTGAGTGCAAAAACAGCGTCATGAATAATTTTCTTCACATTTGTACCGAAATAGCAAATTCATCCAGCAAATATCTTATATAATCTGAACTATTTGTAATTCAAGGAACCAAGTAACCTTGATGATATTTCCATGGACTAAAACTTATCCCCTGTTATCCTGAGGCATGTTTGAAAGCGTCACCGTGTGATGTCAGAGCTATCATGGAGGTGATTGAGATGATATATAACACCAGCAATTACTGGGATTTCTTCAGTCATTTCTACTTATAGGATTGCAGTAATTTTCACATCTGCTGTTTCAGTTTGATATTGAGAATTGTGTGCAATCCAACATCTCAGATATTTGTTAGACAGCAAGTTGAAACTGAAAGCTGATAATGACATGATCATGAGTTCAGATTGACAAAATTGCTGCCTATATCGGTGAATAGTGTTATCTGATTTGCTGCTTGTGTTTTCCAGGAAAAGACCGGTCCAAAGTTGGAAAGCGAGACACTATGCCTGAGAGGTGATGAGGTCAAGTTCCTCAGCAGTTTGGGAGGCCAGGTCTTCATGAACAGCTGAGAGGTGAGGTCGACTTTGTGTCCATGAGGAGATTGAGAGTCTGCAGGGGATGGTTGAAGGGAGACCTAGAATAGACGTCTGCCTGGTATAGGAGGGAGACCTAGAATAGACGTCTGCCTGGTATAGGAGGGAGACCTAGAATAGACATCTGCCTGGTATAGGGGGGAGATCTAGAATAGAATGCCTGTAGTTTTGTTGTGTACTTTTCTTGTGCATGTTCTCTTTCCCTAGCCATTAGTGTAGCCTAGTGGTTAAAGCGTTCGCTGATCACGCTGAAAACCCAGGTTCGTTGCTCTATAGGGTAAAATGTGTGAAGCCCATTTCTTTCTGGTGTCCCTTGATATTGCTGGAATGTTGCTAAACACATTCACTCATTCTTGTATACCATCTTATCATGACCTCCTATCTTGGTTTGAGATCTGTTGTGAGGCTGAATACTTATAAATGTGAAAGTAGTATTTGCATATATTATTTCCTCCTCTTCTCTCTCCCCCCTCCCCCCATGTTTAGCGTGAAGTGGGGGATATAGTATTATGGTCCATCTGTCCGTCCGTACGAATTGGAATATCTTAAGAATCGTCCCAGTCAGGTTTAGTGACCTTGACCTTAATCTCTAGGTCACAAGGGGACTTTATCATTTTACCCTTGTCAGCGAGATATCTCTAGAACCATTTACTGGACTTTTATTCATATTTGACACCAAGCTTTATCTAGGGAAAGTGCAAGGCCCAGTCGATTTTGGTGACCTTGACCCTAATTTCAAGGTCACAAGGGGACTTAATCATTTTACCCTTGTCAGGGAGATACCTCAAGAACCATTCAGTGGATTTTCTTCATATTTGACGCCAAGCTTCATCCAGGGAAGGTGCAGGGCCCAGTTGATTTTGGTGACCTTCACTTAATTTCAGTATGTTGACCTGCATGTTAAGATGGTCAGCGAGATATCTCAAGAACAATTAACTGGATATTTTTCATATTTGACACCAAGCTTCATCTAATAAAGGCGCAGGGCCCAGTCAATTTTTGTGACCTTCACATAATTTTCAAGGTCACTTTTGACACTTTGAACATTACAGCATGTTAACCTGAATTCACTGGATTTTCTTCATAGTCTTTCAAGACTTCCCTTGAATGTTTTTCAATAAGCAATTTTTTTAGTACCATTTTTGCATATTTCATACACTATGACATTCATGTCAAGGTCACTTTGAAGATTTCAGCATTTTAATCTAAATTCACTGGATTTTCTTCGTAGACTTTCAAGACTTCCCTTGAATGTTTTTCAATGAGCAATTTCTTTAGTACCATTTTTACATATTTCATACACTATGACATTCATGTCAAGGTCAAAGTCAGTCTTTAAAATATTTGTGTGTTTGAACAACTAAAGAGCAAGATATCAAGAGAGGTTGACTGGTCATGTTTTTGTTGACATTTAACTTCAGCTTAAACTTTCATTACTTTTTAAGTTTGATTTGATAATTTGCGGCAAGGGATTATGTCACCTTAGTGACAATGCTTGTTTTTCCAACTAGATAATTCCAAAGATAAATGAGTAAGAAATTTTTTATTTTCCTTGAACAGCAAATGTAAATTTTATTATTATTTGCAATTGGCAGATGATGAATCTGCATAGTTTCTGATTCTGTATTTTTCTGGTAATTTCTGAGAAATTTCAACTTTTTCTATTTTCTGTTCTTTCCTACCAAGTTCTCTTTTCGACGTGAATATATGTTATCCAAGATAATTAACAGAAGGGCTAAATGTTGTGGAGTTCAGAAACCTTCAGGTGAGCTGCAGTACCTGATGGTTCTCTTTTCCACATCTTCACTGAAACTGCACTGTAATTATGGGGCCGTGATCAACTACACTTGTGTCATCAATTCACACAATTCCAATCCAATTTCAAGCATGGCTGCTTTAGGGACCACTGTTGCAATTTTACCCCAGAATTTAAACGGTTCTTGATGCTTCCTGTATGTAATATCACATGCAGTGTATCTGTCTGGCATGTCAATACTTGTGTCAGATGTTTTGGAAATTTTGATTTATGATCCATGTATGATCATATTTATATGCATTTCATGTAAGTTGATGTCAGACATTTTCAAGTGGTGAACAGACTGTTGCAGTGTGATCAGGCAATTGAAAATGTATGATTAAGTAGAAGTGAAGCGTTAATGTTGTATTCTGTAGTTGTCCTTTACATAATTTACAAAAAATTGTGGAATCATGTATTTATGATTAAAACTATGTGTGAATGTTTTGCTTTAGAATTATCAAAGTCCAATGTTAAGTAAAATAGTTATTGTTGTATACTTAGGATGCTGATGTTATTTCACTAGACTGTAGTTGGGGAAGCTGTTCAATATCAACTTTATAACCTGCATGGATCACCCACACTGCAATCTCACAACCACGACTATTTGTAAAGCTGACAAGAGAATACTTGGACTGTCAGATGTTAATCTGGACTTTCTTTGTGAGTGTACTTTGTGTCAAACACCTGTGTATTCGTGCCATACTGTAACGTGACTCCCACACTTTCACATGCTCCCAGAATTGCTTAAGACAAAAAATATAACCTTTTCTTTTTCACTTACATAAGGGTTGACAATGATTTAAAGAGCTTCTCCAAATTTCTTTCTTTCTTTCAGAATCAATTATTTTCATACTAAAAAATGGCACATTGTGTTTTTGCCAGAATCCTGTAGTTCATCTTGTACTTTTGGTCATCATTCTGATCTTACGACGGAGTGATGGCAATAATGGCCACTTTTATCTGCTATGAGTTTGGGTGTTACTAGTGTCGGCTATATTGTGCTGGTTGGATACTGAACCTGTCCGTAGTTCTTCAGCTGGAGCAAGTATGCGACACATACAACCTAGCCAAATTTTTTCTCCCCAAAACTGAATGTTAATCTGAAATTAATATTTGTGTGGGTGTAACAAACACAATCAGCAGGGGGACCTTGGTTTTAGTTTAATATTACTAATGTCACCGCCTCCATGGTGGCCTGGATACAGCATCAGCCAGAGAGCAGACGGACAGTGGTTCAATGCCCTGGCTGTGTCATACCAGATGACAGTGCAAGATTGTAGTTGTCATCCTGTGTGATGTTCATCATTAAGGGGATGAAACAAGACATTGTAGGGTCTGGTCTGTATGACGTATCTGAGTAGGACATCCAAGTTATATGTCAGCCTGGTATGTCCGAGTGAGTTTTGGGAAACTAGACTGGCAGCCACACATACATGTATGGACGACACTATAGAAGTGAAGGACTCTGAATGAGATGTTAAAGCCCATACTAGATAACGATTTTATCACTGTGGTTCTCAGTGAAGGTCTTCCCTCATCCATTCATGCCCTGAGAATCAATGACTGTAACACTTTGACTGAACAGACGGCCCCAACTGTAGCCCCCAACTAGTGCAAGGATACACAATCAATGTCATGGTAGTCTTGGGTGATGTCTATGTCATGACTTAGGATGCAGCTGATACTGATAAAGTGGAGAAAATAATACTGGTAGTACTTTGATAGAGACATTTGTAAGCTATTTGTTCAAGACCAATGGAGAACCAGGTTAGAAATGGTCTTCAGCAACCCATGCTTCTCCCAGAAGATCACTTAGGAGATCAGGTGGTTAGGATAACTGACTGATGCATGTCATTGTATCGCAATTACCTATGGTCATAATGTCAATCACAGGATTGTGTGGTCCACACTGTGGAGATCAGGTAGTTAGGATAACTGACTTGGTTGATGCATGTCATTGTATCGCAGTTACCCATGGTCATAATGTCAATCACTGGATTGTGTGGTCCACACTGTGGAGATCAGGTGGTTAGGATCACTGACACGGGATTGTGTGGTACAAACTGGAATAGAGCATAGGACGACATAAAACAACAAACTAGTTTTAAAAAAACCCCTCTTTATTTGTTCACATAAACTCACCTGGCTGAAAGTTATGTGAGTGAAAAACAAGATATTATATATATGTTCCTTGATTCACCTTTGTGTCACAACCATGCCCTCTCCATGGATAACTATAACCAGGATATCGACACCCTCAGGTAACATAACACACCAATATGATCAAGAGGTTGAAATCCAATTTTCAATATTGCCTCTTTAACAGCTGTCATTAAACCCTTTTTGTTTTATTTATTGGCATTACTCAGCTAGTTTTGTTCAAATGTAATGGCATTTGGGAAATGCGTAGTTTGTAATAGTACTAAACATGTTACTTTTTTCACGAGGTATAAATTCGACCTTTATGTTTTGATCCTGTTTCTCAGGAAATACCATACAAAAGAAGTCTACAATGCGTGTATGATCTGTATTGTAATGTATTTCATAGTATGGTCAAGTTATTTGCACTTTACTCTTACTTTCTGTCTTCAATAGTTTTGCGAAAAAAAATATTTAAATGTCAGTGCTGACAGCTGCTTATGATTTATGGCTGTTTTCATTGTTAACTACACGACATGTGCAGGCTGAAGACACGGCTTTGTTGTGAACAGGGACACCGTAGTGACAGCAGTAAGAGATCAGGACTGTCACACTCCCTACTCCTTGGACCCGTGAAGATGCTTGAAACTCCTCACACTCCCAACTCCTTGGACCCGTGAAGATGCTTGAAACTCCTCACACTCCCAACTCCTTGGACCCGTGAAGATGCTTAAACTCCTCACACTCCCTACTCCTTGGACCCGTGAAGATGCTTGAAACTCCCTCACACTCCTACTCTTGAAACTCCTCACACTGCTTGAAACCCTCACGCCTCCCTACTCCTTGGACCCGTGAAGATGCTTGAAACTCCTCACCCTCCCTACTCCTTGGACCCGTGAAGATTCTTGAAACTCCTCACGCTCCCTACTCCTTGGACCCGTGAAGATGCTTGAAACTCCTCACACTCCCTACTCCTTGGACCCGTGAAGATGCTTGAAACTCCTCACACTCCCTACTCCTTGGACCCCTGAAGGTGCTTGAA